AAGATATTAATTGCTTTTCATTGCCGTTGAGATAGTTCAGCACGAAGATTATCAATAATATTTCTCATTATTAATAACCAAATAGGTACAATTTGAACATAATTTGGTAGTAGTAAAAATAATTTATGTAATGAAATTCCTAATTTTCTGCTTCAAATAAGTTTTAAGCAGATTTGTACCTACTACCAGCGTTAACTTACAACAACCTAACGCTGTCCTCTTTCGCAACCCACAAATTAGAATGCAATTTAAATTCTATGACTTGATATACTAATTGTATTCACTCTATTTATCTCTATCATTGCCGTGTAATATTATTTCCTAATATTTCCTTAAAATCATACGCATATATCGATGTAGTGTATGAAATTGCGATTTTCCGAGTTACAATTATAGTTGTCACTTGTTTCAATGTCGGATAAGTTTCAGCAATTAAATTGATTGTATTAAACATATATACATTAAATATGCATTTAGAAATGATTTAATAAACATACATTTAAAACTATGTAAGCTAATGTTAGGAGTAACCTACATCATTATGATTATCAAATCAAGCATATGCGATTTTTCATATGTCATATTTATTTTTCTATCGAAAATTGTCGTGAATGATGATTGCAGATTTTGTAAAGTTCAGAATAAATATTCACGCACAATTAATAATCCATTTACATTATGTTTCTCTTATATAAGAAAGGAAGTGTCGATTTTGTAATTATTTTCACTTTTCAATGTCTTAAATACTTAATAATATCTAATATTTTATGTAATAGAATCCTATCGCTCTCGATAGAGAATAAAATGAATCAACATAAAAACAAATCTCAAAGAAATTTCTTAATCTCTATGTATTTGTCTCTATGTATTATAATACATTCATTATCATCATTATATAATCTTTAATTTTATTTAGAAACAATATATGTATATATATATATATATATATATATATATATATGAACGCAGGATAACATATAATTTTGTAAAAATGTTTCTTTAAATTTAAATTTAATGTCGCCAACAATTTCTTCATCATTATTCATCGCTACATTAATGCTATAAGTATCTCTTAATACAACTAATTTTATAATAATAACCATTATAACTATTTAAATTCAAATCTAATTTACAATTACAGACGATCATCAAATTAAAATGTCATATTTTAGTTATTATTTACGATTGTTTTAGATAATTTTATATACGATATAATCGTTAAAAACGTGAAGTATAAATTATATAAATGTAAATTATATAAATATTACAACAAATTTCGATTATTCGTTGGATTATTAAAACAAACTGTTTTTCAACAAATTTTCTAAATTCTAAATCATCAATTATATTTTAACTTTAATTATTCATATATTCAAAGCGACTCTTAGCTATCTTATATGTTTTCAATGGCCTATCAATTTAATTTGAATATTTCTTGTACTATAATAATAACTTAAGATGTCCGCTGATATCTTATGGTTAATTTTATGCTAATAATCGCTTGGATAATCAATTTAATATAAAACTTAATCACAACATTGATACATCCCTGATAATTCTTTATAATCTACGAATTCTTTAATTATTTATCAGATATGATGTGATGTATGAACTTGAGCTTTAGAGAGCAAAGTCCATTCGAAACTATAAAAGTTGGAAAATCATCGAGAAAATCATCTATAAAATTAAAAACTATTCTCAAATCATTCAATCTGACAATATTATTTATCTACAATTTTAATGTTTACATTAAATTAAGTATAAGCGATAGAATCTAGAGTACTAAAAAAATAATACCAGAACAGATTCGTATTATTTGACAGAAACATAGTTGGGAGAATTTCTAATGTATTCGTAATTTGTACATTATAAAATATAGTTTATATCTTAGATTACTTTTATAATAAAAAATAATATGCTCTTCTTTAAGTATTTTAGTTATAAGATGAAAGTTCATTTGTATAACAGTGCTCGGAAATTTTATAATTAAAAAGAATAAATCATCGTTGAAAATAAGGAGATATTTGTTCGAATGTATATCTGACATTTTGAAAATGCCTGGAAAGTTTGAAGTCACGTAATACATAATAATTGCTACCAGATCATTGTAAATAACTAATAAATTAATGTAATTGTTGAATGTGGTATTGAACATTCTGAAATGTAAACTACCGTTACAACCATTTACTCCGATAAAAATTAATTTACTTTAATGAAAATTTTAAGTTCTTGTTAATACCACCAATTATCTATTTAGATATTTTAAGCATGATAATTAGATTTTTAATTTAAGCATTTTAAATCCATATGCACAAAATCAATTGCCAATCATTTACCTTATGTAAGTATTTCCAAGACTATTTTAAAATATATATGTCACATAAATATTCTGTTTTCATTAATGAAACATGTTTTTGGCAAGATTTATGCATTTAATAATTTTAAAATAATACGTCTCTCAAAGTTTTAGCACAAAATCGATTTATAGCACTTCACGATCAAGTTCAGCGTAGTGTAGAGTATCGCTTACCGCTCGTGTAAACGAACACCAGAAAGCCTCGAGAGTCCGCAAATCAAAAAGCAAAACAGCAGGATTTCATAAATACACCAATCACAGTCAATAAAATATCATGAATTAAAATGGCAGTATGTCGATTGAACTTGAAAACATCAAAATCGACTCTTTAATTTACTCTTTAACTCGTCACGTCCGCAAAGATGAGCTGCCCTTGCGATCGCCGAAAGAGCAAAAAAAAATTTAGCATTAAATTAAAATGCGTATAAAAAGCTCACTGTTTTAATAGCGACGTGTTGGTGAGAGGGAGTAAAGGGGGGGGGGGGGGGGGGGGGGGGGGGGGGGGGGGGGGGGGGGGGGGGGGGGGGGGGGGGGGGGGGGGGGGGGGGGGGGGGGGGGGGGGGGGGGGGGGGGGGGGGGGTGTTTTATATGGACTCCCGATGCCCGCAGGTACATGCACATACGCGCTCAGGTATATACGCGGATAAAGAAAAACGCTTCGTCTTCTCTTCGTGACTGGCTGCCGTCGTGTTTTCAACTTTAAAATTGATGACCTTATCGCGTAAATCGCCCCAATTACGGCAGAGCTACATTGCGGAAAGGAACGATTTTCTCGTCATGACATTACACGCGCGCGTCCACGAAACTTTAATTAGTTAATGGTAACGTTGTCTGCCGCCCGTCGTCTTCCACTTCTTTCGACTTAACGAGTACAAAGAATTATAATGATCATTTCGAGTGCTAAATATGATGAAAGGAAGAACTTCATCTTTTTTTTCCCCTTTGAAAAAGTGTTTAAGACGTCGTTGATCGACTGTCAATCCTCTACTGTTCACTGGTTAGTCAATAGCTATTTCAATTAAAAGCTCATCCCCCGACAAAACAATGAAATTCCCAACGTCTCGACGGCGACGTTCAGCAATGTTGTCTTCCATATCACATTCATCGCGATGAATAGCTGAACCGAGATAACGATAAACTAAAAAGTAATATCCCAATCTATTGCCTCTTAGAGCCGCTGACCATAAAACAAAATTTGATAGAAATGTACTTACATTTGAATACAGAGGAAACATAAATGCTAAATTCCATTCAACAATATGTATAAATAGTTTTAAATCAATGAAATAGTGATTGGGTATCTATCGAATATGATTATTGTGAATGTAATTGTACCTGTGCAAATGTATTCCAAATGATTTGCAAAAAAGGCAGCAACAGGAGCGAAAAACTAATGTTAAGAAATAAATGAAATGGCTCTCGCATAAAAATCTTGGCTCCACTTTCCTTCCACTTAACATAAATACAGGTATTTAAATTACCAGTTTCAGCTATTCTAAAATTACATATTTTTAATTAGATACGCTACTTTAGAATTTTTATCATATTTTAATTGAAATCATGGCTAAATATTTTCAAGTTTAATTAATTTTAATTGCAATATCCAATGAAATATTTTATATGATACAGATTATTATTATTATTATTATTCTAAATTACCAAAGTTAACATACTTTTTTTTTTTTTTTTTTTTTTTTTTTTTTTTTTTTGTTTTTTTTTTTTTACAGATATACGTACAAATAAGGAATTATTAATATTATTCATCGCTATTTGTATAATAATAAACAATATATATTTGCAACGTATTTGCAATTTAAAATATTTTAATAACCTTCGCATTAGTAATTCCACTATACATTTTTATTTTATAAAACAACTATTTATAATAACTTTGTACTACATTATATTAGCTAGCTACTTTAATAACTCAAAATATGAAACTAATTACAAATATAGCAGCCTTTTAAAATATAAGTAACTATTGTTAATTTATGTTTGACTTATTTGCATAAATTCAATGAAGCACCAAACTGGAATATATAAATTTATTGAAACTTTTATAATAAATCACTAACATATTAACTACTTAATATTATTTGTACTTTAATAAAATTTTTCATTAGACATACAAGAAAATTATTATAATGACATTGTCCTAAGTAAATTAATTATTAACCTTAATAAATTTATCGGCACCGTTAAAAGATTACATCATCACATTATTAAGATTCTAATTTCATTATAATTTTTTTAAAAAGCTTCTTTTACAAAGCTTTTAAATTTTGTATAATAATTCAAAATATTTGTAAAAAAAAAAAAATAAATAATAATCGTTATACACACACACACACACACACACACACACACACACACATATATATATATATATATATATATATATATATATATATATATATACATTTGTATTAAATCTTCTAGAATTTCGCTTTAGAAAATAATCAATAAGTATCATCGAATATTACAGATCGATAGAAACTAGACTAATTTAGGTTACATTTATTTCAAAATACAAATTAATAACAACACATTATAGCATTAACATTAAATTGACTTTCCATCAAATATGTACCATTGCTCGAATGCATTATTTATTTATCAAAAGTAACAATAATATTATACTCACAAGACATCTAGAGGGAATTGGGGAGGCCACTCGTGACGATACCAAACCTTTATGGTCATTTGTCCCTATGTGTTTCCTCACATTTAACTGCGGTACCTGTAAAATAAAAATGATTTATTTAAAAAACAAAAAAACAAAAAATAACAAAAAAAAATTAATTTAACTTCGTAATTATAAAACAAAATTGTTAATAAAATTGAATAATTCACTGTTGGGGGGTAGTTACGAGGCTTTTTTCATACTCAAGGGAAATATAAGTTTTGAAAGAATGGTAAAGAAAGATAAATTCGAAGAATATACGGAATAAAAATGTAGCGATAGATGGCGATATACATATATACATATATGTGCGTGCGTGCGTGCGTGCGTGTGTGTGTGTAAACATACATACGTAAAGTATGAAAGAAGGCTTTTAGATAATTTTGATGAAAGTTTTACTTTTATGAAGCGGTTGACCGATTTGGCGCCACCTCGTACTACTTATGGCCGATCGTACATACTGTTTTACTTACTACTACTTAACGAGTGGCAGTAACTGATGTACACCACTATAATCTATACAAGTATGAAAGGCAACGTACAGCGATAATGGAATAGAAAAGTATCAATAGCACTTACATTCACCTCTTATTCCTTATTCTCTTTTCAAGCTTTATTATTTGTATTTTTAAAATCTGAAGGAGAAAATAACGGTATACTCGAAATTCTCAGGTTAAAATGTGTACTTGACTTTACACTTTATCAATTATTCACAAATAAATAATATAAAGAAAGAATTATAAATAAGTAATAATCGACTGGATTGATAGACAATATTTTAGAATTTAAATAACTATATTATTTATTTCATTCCCTGAGAGGTATATTCAATGAAAAAATATTGAAAAATGAAATTAAATACATAAAAAATAGGTATTATTATGACTTTGTAAATTCATATTGAAATAATAATAATAACAAAAGAACAAAATAAACTATTTGAAATTCATTCTTCTTCTATTTGTTAAAATAATTGTAGAAGATTTATCAGAATAAATTTAACTTTTGACTTCTCGATTAAATTATAATTCACCTTAATAATCTTTAAAAATTTTCGGGTAAAATTCATTTACTAATAAAATAAGTAAATTTATTTAAATATATGTAAATATAGTAAACTCATAATAAATAAATTTCAAATTGTTTGCACCCACACACACACACACACACACACACACACACACACACACGCATGCACACACACATATATATATTATAACAATAAATGTTTTATTAAAATAATATTTTGATAAAGAATGATCTTTAAATTTTCTTTATTTCATAATAAAACATATCTAATGTAAGTACTACTTAATATAAAAAAAAAAAAACATGCTTTTTTCATAAACAAATAGAACAATTGTCTTATGTTTCAGAAACGTAAGGCATTTACTTTACACGAATGCATAATAGCAAAGCCAATTGTTGAAGATAAAATAAAATATTTCCCAAACATTGCTATTTATTAATATTTATTCATATTTTGTGCAATATAATTTTCATTATGGAACATAATACAATCATTATCAATGAATAATTGAAATTGATTAAATTAAATTATCTTTTCGTATTGCATAAAATGATATTGCTCTACTTCCATTAGTAGAACACGACAAACAAATACCTTGTTTATTCTTTAATAATAACGAAAAATATAATTGATCTCTCTACTAATTAAACTAATAACATTTTCATTATTAATTGCCTTCGCTAAGCATCTTTTAATGAAGAAATTTTGCAATTTGTTAGTGAAATATCAGTAACGAGAAATAATTGATTAAACATAATTTCTCTAGCAGTTGTATCTTGATACTTGACGTTACATCGCTTGAGCTGGCGATAGAATATCCATCATTTTCAATATTTATAATCATTCGAGTAACATTTAGGATCTCGAGGCGACAAAAATAAAGAGAGAAAAAAAAAGTTATATCCCAATTAAAATGAAAAGTCTATCTTAGGCAGACGTCGAAGCAGATATACCAATCGGTTAACAACAATACCATCAGCCACATCTCTTATATTTGTCGAATAAACAATCACGGGGCTCGGATTGCCTCTTACATCCATTTGCATTGACTCCCCTTCGAGCGTCTTTTAATCTCGATCTCCGATCTCTCTCCAGTCGGACGCTCGCCCAGGTAATCTCTTGAGCCGCTTTCTCATTCCATTTCCACGTCTGATTGACTGTGAGCAGGTCGCCGAGTTTACGTCGGACCAACCGAAGCTGTACGTGTATGCGTTTTGATAGGTGGGGGTGGCGCGCATGAAATAACAAGGCCGCATCGAAATCGATATATACGGCGAAGGGGACGGGCAAGAGGGAAATAGACGGCGATAAGTCGGCTAGATTCGGAGGGGGCCGTCCAGGTATGGACAGTATCTAGATACGTTTATCTTGATGGGGATGGGTTGTGTTAAAAGAGCTCGTTTACTCCGACATTTTTAATCATTCGAGTATAATTGGACTGGGATAATAGTTATTTATAAGTTATATGCTTTTAGGTATTCCGTGTTTGTAAAGCGATGATAATAACTAACTGTTCTTTGATGTAAAAATTCTCCGCTACTGACTTGACAAACTCAAATTGGATCAATTTTTTTTTTTTTTTTTTTTTTTTATTGCATTTTTCAAAAGCATATATCGTCGCACAAAGATGAGCGCTGCAATTAAAAAAGAAGAAAATAAGGGAAAAAAATACGTATTCAAAAAACACGTATGCTGTATTATATATTATGTATTAGATTATATAGAATTAACGGTAATGCGATGAAAAGCAACATATTATTTGTAATTAATGTGACAGAATATTACAATATAATATGAAAACGAAATCTTCGCCCTTTCCAATAATAACTTTCTAATAACCGAAAATTTACCGTTCCACAAGAAAATTTCCAAACACTAATAATTGCAGTATAATTATGAATCGTTTATGGTGTATACATATATATATATATATATATATATATATATATATATAGAGAGAGAGAGAGAGAGAGAGAGAGAGAGAGAGAGAGAGAGAGAGAGAGAGAAATATTAAAAATAACTACTATCAGAAATAGCTTATCAAACAAACCTTATTAAATATAAACTATCTAACCGATAGCTTCGTAAACGCATAATGATGTACGAGTAAAATATAAAAATATCATTGTAATAACAAAGGACCGATATCTGATACATTTACAAAGTCATATTTGCGAAAATAAACAAAATTATTGATTTTGAGCTATTAATAGAAAAGTAAAAAAGTATTGTTGATAAAAATCCTTAGTAAATAACTGGACGGCTGTCCGAACCAGAATAGTTAACATAGAATATCATTAAATCGATAATCACTTAGAGTTGCCAAAAATTAAGCTCCACCTTAGCCAAGACCATGTGATTAGGTCATATAGATATTTATTCCAGGTAGAGCAGAACAACAGAGAGCACCACACCCGGTAATTATGCAAGTGATCCAGGCTCTGTACACAAATTGTGTAATCCATTTGCGATACTCAAAATTGAATCCCAGTCTCATTTCGCCAAAATAATATATGACTTTGCAATCAATGTGGACTTACATTTGGTAGAAAGTATTTTCAATACATACCATTAAATTAATCATAATACCATACGATGACATAATAATTTTGCATAATAAAAATTTCTATTTGGAATTGCTAGCTTCATAATTGTTGCATTTTTCATAATAATAATAATAATAATAATAATAATAATAATAATAATAATAATAATAATAATAATAATCGATAGGAACCTCTATAAATGACATATAACCTATATAGATAAATTTTTATCTAACTTTATGATACTGATAATATACAAAAGATTATTAGTTTATGTTAAACTGTCGTAATTAAAATATTTCAATAAATTTTCTAAGTTTATTTTATATAAGGTAGAATTATATTGATATTATTAGAAAAATACTCCACATTCTCGTATTGCAAAATATCAGATAACCATTTGAATATCACTGTATTATCAATATTTATAAAGAAAGAAAGAGCTGATTGCAACTGAAGGAGCTGACATTTCAAAATAATTACACACGTGTAGGCCTTAATTATTACATACAATACTCGTATGGTGTATGTATCACTGATATTCTAGACAAATATTTACAAATCCATTCCATCCTATATCAAACTCCACTGCATATTCGATGTTACATATACATATACAACTGCATTCTTATATTTCTTCTTAATTACAAAATAAATGCAAATAAAAATATTAAAAATTAAACTTAACATTAACTTAGCATTAATATCCAATATTGATATTTTGATTCGATAGATCTTTGTGATATTTTTCCTACTAAAATTCGACTAGGCATTAGTTTTATTATCAAGAGTCGTGAATAATACTATTTTTATCGTAAACGTATTATTCTAATAAAACTTTTTTGCAAATTATAATACCTTGTTTTAGTGTCCATGGTTAAGTATAGAACGATAAGGACAGCTCAACTAATTTTAAAACTGCAGCATTAATCAATGTTTCTACTAACTTATGATCGAAATATTTTTAATTCTCACTAGTTTGTGGAGTGACGTAACGTAGTACACGAACGAACGATCTACAAAATTACGGAAATGCATCGATTGAAAGACGAAACAGGAACGGAGCAAAATCGTCATAAGGAGCTATATTTTCTATGTATATTGTATAACTTTTGACCAGGTATAAGGAGCACTAACATCGAACGTCATGTTTCTCTCTAAAGGAGAAAGAACAAGTAAATTATGAAATGAATGTGGTGGTGAAAAAGGGATAGGCAAGGACTAGTTGAAGCACTGTCACACTACGAGACCTTCGTGGAATATTGTAGCCAGAAATTGAGATTTAGATTGAGATTAAGATTCATTAACGAGCTCTACAACACATCCTATTAAAGAGCGAGTGTGATTTACGTGTGTTTCTCCCTCACCCCCTTTCCCCGTCTCAGCCCCAGCCCCAGCCCCAGCCCCAACCCTTACCCCTCCCACGCCCACACTTTCTCCCACCTCGTCTCGTATGCGCGAGTACGCGCGTATAC